TAATCAACTGATTAGGCAAAAAAAATGCTTAATCATCTTTTCCAATGTAAAAGGATCATATAATCATGGAAAAACATACAAATTTCCAAATATACCTGATAACCAGAGCAAAAATCCATAAATAACCGCAAATGAATGAATATTACAGCTAACAGATTTATTATTATTGTGAACTGAATGCCAAAAGCGAAATACAAGAACAGCTACTAAACCCCTGTTGTATAGTTTGGTGAGAAAATTATTTCAGTATTCATCTGGGAGATAACATCAAAATACAAAACAACCGTCTTCAAGTGGCAGCTTATGTATTTTCAGGTACCTAACGTTGTCCTTTCAAAGAGCAAGACAACAACAATTATACGCACTGGCACAAATGTAATTAAATCTAATCGCATGCATGCGGTAATGACAGACGCACAAACACCTGTGACTCTCCACCGTTTGCAGAGGTTGCTGGCATTTCATCTTCTCCCAAGACACACGGAGAGGAAAGGCGTGAAAAATATGGTTGAAGCAAAATAAATAAATAAATGTTACCCTGACTTATATGAAGAAATGACCAGAAAGATTATAGCAGTTTGTGCAGCAAACAAAGTCATAAAAATCGCTGAGATCGACGAGTGCCATATTCACCTTAGCAACCAAGAAGATGGGGACACCATTTTCATCATTTGGCATATTCGTCAAAATGCATGCATTGTGCATGTAACCTTTAAAGATCCACCCATGCTGACTTTTAGAAGAGAAAAGATTTAAGTGTCTGAGCATTCAAGGCAGCTAGATTCTTGTGAGCTTACCGTCACATCCATTTTTCCATATTTCAGTCACATTGGACCAATCAGGGTCCTCAAAGGAACGAATCAATGTTGGTTCATTGCTGTAGGTGTGATTTAGGTGACATAAGAAAGATGGTTGCACCTAAATCATTCACTTGGCTGTCAGTGTGTGTGTATTTATTGATATTTCCAGTTTTTCTAACAATTTTTTCAAAAGTCCTTTAAAATAAAAATAATTATTAGTTTCTTTTTATCGGCCAAGTATATTTGGCTGTGAGTACCTTTAGTACACACATTTTAATGACAAAAGCACAAGGATTCAGCTTTCAGAGCTCCTCATCCTGTAACTGTTTTTCTGTTAGGCGCTCTGTGTGTTTGTCTCAGCATCTGCGACGTAGTTCTTGTTTTTCCCTTTTCCAATTTCCAACAATTTGCCAGTTTTTCCTTTTAGAGGGAGTGTTTTGAAAGCTTTTGATTGATGATATTGTGTCAGAATTTTTGAGGTTAGTCTTGTCCAAGGTAAATGGTCAATCAGGTTCGGCTAATTGGGAGTCTCACTCGATACACTTCTGCTTAATGGAGAATTGCTTTTCCTTGTTTTACTTTTTTTAAAATTCTGATTAATTGTGATAATAAGTAAACACCTAAACAAACTCCAGGCCAGCAAATTCATTTCGCACATCAGTATCTAAGCAGCAGTGTTCCTATTATATTTCAGTGCTTGGCCTTACATGAGACATCCCTGTTTGCTTGGTTTTTGTCCCCGCTGTCAATGCTCTAAAAATGTACTTTATGATCAAGAAAGCAAATGTTTAAAGTGACTTATTAGCTTGATAGCGCTGACATGACACAGGACAAGCAAAAGCTCAGTGATTTGATCTTGGGAGGACACACAAATTCCTTTGAGGTTGTATCAGGAAGGGCATCTGGCATAAAAATGTGCCTGTTCAAATATGTGGAGCTACCTGCTGTGGTGGCCTCGTGTGAATAAGGGAGCAGCCTGAAGAAAGATCATAAGTATGACTCATATGCCATGAAGCAGGAAACCACTGTCCATACCACACAAGCACAATTACAACATCACATAATGTTTTTTATAGATTTAGTTAATGAGCGTTTGGTGCACTTAAAGCTGTACAATGTGGATTTCATTTCATATGCATATATGCGCCGTGCGGGCTGAATTTTAACACACGCCTTGTTTTGTATTTGTCAGTGTTAAAGAAACAATCAGTAGAGGCGCATGTTTTTCCTCCACACTGTTTTATTGCTGCTTTTGCTCAATGCCTGTCTGGCCTTGCTCAAAAACACAATTATGAGCATGTGAGTAATACAAATGAAGCTTCATGTTTCCTTTAAGTAAAAATATCAAGAATATGTGCTTTTATTTTCTGTACCTTAATCATTATAAGGTACAGAGTCTTTTCCCTTATGGTATATACAACATGTATATGAACGTGTCATATTTCAGGCTGTCTGATTGCTATGTTGACTGAAAGGACCGTCAGGCAGAACACGGGGCTCAGACAGCTCACGGTGAAACAGAGCCCGAGATGCCGCCGCCGGCGGAGCTCCTCTCGCTCTGATCCCCGACTAACCGAGCAAAACACTGACAATCTCAATCTGCATCTGATCTCATGATGTGACCGTGTCCAATCGCAGTGGGGTGGATGATAGCAAATTCACTATGGTCAGGAGCCTCTTCAAAGGTTTCCATGGCTACATTATCACAAACATACTGTTAGTTTCTTTTTTGTTTTTTCCCTCTCAGACAAATCCCCCAAAAATAACAGCACCATCACCATTCAAGTCATAACCTAACCCTGCCTGCCTTGTAACTGCTTCAATTCTTTTGCTAATTAACTACTTGTGAGCAGCAAAAGAAACACTTAAAAGATTATTTAAATTATGTGTCAAGATAGCTGACTAGAATATCTGTTATACCACATATCAATACTGTTATGACTTTGCATTGTGTCCTTGATACTACACTGTAGACTTTAGCAAAGACTCAACGTACATGAAACCTTTTTATCATGACTGATAGGATCACGCTCAGTCTTTTTGACAGGGGTGCGGCACGGTGAAATACAGAGACAGGCTGCTGAGGAAATTGCTGGGTTACCTCTTCCTCCAGCCTCCTTTTCTGGGCTCATTTCTGCCTTATTTTACATTTTCTTTTCCCAGTGCTTAAAAACCTGTCAGCATCGTGTAAACACTACTAATGGCCACGGCTGAAAAGGACAGTCACAGCATTAAATGAAAGGCATAAAATAATTATTTAATTCCATAAAGTACAGATGTTTCTGATCTTTAGAGAAATGTTTTTGAAAAATCCTTCAAGCACATGAGACTCTGGAAAATAAAAATTTCTATTTACCTTTACATATTTACAGCCAACAAGATGTCTATAAATTCTGTTCATTTGTATAATACAGTCCTCAGTTCTACTGAAAGAGGAACTTATCAGTAACATAATAGCTATATTTGTTGCTATATATTTAAATGAATATAGCAACACAAGAAATCTGGCAGTGACTACAAAAATAATTTCTACAGGTGACTGAAGCTGCACAGTAACTATATAGAGATATAGACTTTTATACCATTGGACTATATTTGCTTACAGCTGGGAAATGTTTTACAGACTATTTGGTTATAGCTAATAATTCCTAACAAACTAACGCACTTTATCACATTAATGCATGAATCCCCTCTATTGGCAGACAGCAGACCTGAGACTTCTAACGAAACCTTGACGTGAACGGCCCATCACAATATTTGATGGATAAGTAATTTAAATTAATTAAATTCTGTAAATCATCAAACTGAATCACTCAGCCCTGCCTGAAAGGGCTATCTGTGTCTTCGTACAAGTAATAACCACGCGGCTATTTGCCAGCGTGTTCTGTCAAAGCCAGCGGAGGCTTTTGAGTCCCTAGTTACATGAGCTTCAACGCAGTTACTCGTCATAGATTCACAGATGCCAAAGAAACCCATGTAGAAGAGATGAACGGGGCATAATGCAAACCAAATAATAGTTGTGCACGGAGGCGTGTTTTTGTTCCCCCAGCAGGAGATGTATTTATCAGAAGCTGCAGCTGGGTCAGTCAATGAAAAGGCAGCTCGTCGTCTCACACAGAGAGACGCTGCTTTGCCCCTGTGGTGACTAAGCTCAGTGAGAAAATCATATTTCTTCCAGACAGTTATTACAGTGACAATTAGACCAAAGAAATCAGGACATCTCTTTCAAAATGAAGGTGGAAATCTGTCATGTTTTCTTAATTTTAATGAATCAGCTTTTACTGAGTGTTGCTTTTTTCTGCTCTAATTAAGTGACACACAAGGCTGACATAACACACACATAAACTGCCAGCAGCTGGGCAGCAGCATGCTGAAATGAAACTTCCTTACAGCTTTTCCTGGCAGCGAGTTATGTGACACTGTGATCAATGCATGGATGCAGGAACTTAAGCGTTGCAGCAACTGAACATCTGGCAGTGTGCCATTGGACTAAGCAGCATCTGGCTTTGTGTTTCCATAGGAAGTAGCTCCAGCAGCATAAAGAGAGACCTTATCTGACTCAGGCTCTAACACTGGTGTAAAATCAATGCTGCACATTTCATTTCCTGCACAAATCATAACAAAAGCAAAAGAAATCGATGCATATTACCACCCAGCTTCAGTTCCCACAGACAAAGTTAATGCAGGATAAAATTCCTGCCACCTTCTTTCATGACTGAGTGCAGGTGTCGCTGCACAGCTTTGAGGCAGAAGCTTATGTGACAACTTTGCTGTACAGTGTGTTTACTGAGCTGCAGAGTTTAAAATCAGCAAAGTGTGTACTAGGGGGCTGCAGACTTGCTGATGACGTACAAGTTTAGAATATAATGCAGTGCGATTTATGGATTTGGATGAAGCTGCTGGTCAAGTCTGACAATAAAGAAATAAACAAATAAATCTTGTCCAAATATGACGTTTATCATGCTGCTGCAACATCTACACTGATTTTCAGATATCTGAGAGGATAACAATAATAATAATAATAATAATAATAAAGTAGTGACAGTGATAAAATCATAGGTTCTGGTCATCCCATAATATCATCTAATTATGTATCTGCGTTGGCTTTGATAAAAGAGATAATTAAAACACAGGATGCCTTTTGAGCTGTGCTGGAAATACATAAAAAGTGGGGAAGACAAAGATTCAAAAATGACTCACCTCTAGCGGTATCTGTGATTCAAATCTTTTGCCACCTCAGATGGACTGGATGGTGCCTCTGTGGAGCATCAGATCGGTGGGTTTACGCAACGTGAGAGTGGAGATGCTGAGCTGTGAGAGAGAGGGAGCGGGCGAGAGAGAAAGAGAGAAGGAGAAGAAGAGAGAGAGGGGGGAAGGAAGAGAGAGCGAGGGAGAGAGAGGAGGGATAAGGAACTCCCTCTTTAGCTCTGACAGTGTTGACACGACACGCAGCCACTTTCAGCGATTTCCAGCCTGCTCTCGCTCACAGCGGGCTGGTGGCAGCAGCAGCCAGCAGCACTGAGCTTCCCACATGCTGATGAAGATCGTGTATGTGAGAAGCTCCATCTTTCAGCGCTTACTGTAGATGTGACTTGATGTAGGTCAGCAGTGCTGTGATAATGAAATGAAGTTGATATTTCAATGCAACTTCTGAATGATTTTTAGTGCTGTTGTTGGGTTACACTTCAAGTCAATGCAAGTGCATACTGTATCCTTCTGGGAGGGGGTTTAGAGTCCAAATCAGTGCACATACACCTCCTCTCTCCTGTAGGAACAGACCTGCACTGCAGCTATGTTACTGAAGCAAAAGAAGCAAACAAAATACTAAATGCATGTTTCTGTGGGCTTTTAGTTTGATCTGCGATTTGTCTAACTTGAGGTTCAATCTTTTAATCTACTGCATATATTGTACAAGTTGTTTTATACTTTAGGATTTTCAATTTTCTGTTATTTTACTGCTTTTCCACTTTAGATTGCAAAAATAGCTGAGAGAAGTGTTGCTACCCATGGAAATGCTTCAAGACATGAAGGCAGCGATAATTACATGGGTTTATATAGAGACGTGATTTGATTGGTACCTCCTACAGAAGCCGTTCTTGTTTGGAAACAAAGAAACTGATCTTCTTTTGAAACAGTACCTACAGATGGAAGCAAGCAGACCATATTTATTCATATGGGACTTTTCAAAAACAAGATCAACAAAGTTTTTCAAAAGCCAGTACACAATGTACAAAACTAAAAACCAATACAGAATGTACACATTAAGAAAAGTAACAAAAGAAATAACATGGAGGAATTTAAAAAAAAAAAAATATTTTGCAGTAAAAATATGCATTAAAGGACCTGAGATGGTCAGTCCAGTGGGGTACCTTTAGGACCACTGAGCTCGCCTGCAGCCCTAACCACAACTCTGATATGATTAAGTGGTTAAGGATTTGGATGTCTGTGGAATGTATTCAAGCTTCTCATGTGATGCCATGCACACATTGCTTAAAACTGCGGTAATGCCGTTTTAGGCACAATGACTGGGGGTTGTCATCCATCCTGACACAAAATACAGATAAGCATCCAAAGTTTAGTAGACTTTCAGATCTTGTTCTTGTTTTTAATTTGAACGGTTGTTGATAACAAAATGAAAGAGATCATGTGGCAAGAATTCAGGGTTCATAGTTCTGAGTATCAGGCCTTGACAGGCTTGGAACTGCATTTCATCCGGTGGCGTTGTAGATCCTGTTAAAAATCGATGGAATTATGAACACAGAAAAGTACCATCAGACTTTGATCCACCCTGTACATCTGCAAATCTTCTGATCCAATGTCAATAATTAATGGCAGTGTTTTCTCCTCTATTGATATGCTGTTAGTGATTACAATGAAATGGTTAGAGCTTAACTGATATTGAAGTTCAATCAAGAAATTAAATGTTGTGCTTTAAGTCAATATTTAGAACACAGCTTTTAATACAGTGAGGAATCCCTCCAACAGAAAAAGGCTTTACTCTGCAACCACTGGTCATTTCTAATCCAGAATAAATATGAAAACAAACTAT